TATGTGAAAAGGCAGGAATTGCTGCCCGTAAGATCTCCTAGGTATATATATATACGTTCTATAGACCCGAACCTGCCCAACAACGTGACAAACAACTTAGTGCCAGGAGTGGGCTGTTCAGAACTGCTGTAGCTTTGGGTTCTCTCAGGTCAAGAAGGCCACAAGGCACGAAACTGGCTTCTAACGCCACTTCCGAGAATTTCCATATTGGTGCAGTCAGATTTCAATTGCCATGCATAGATCTCAGTATCTGCAAGTTTGAAGACATGAAGATGCATCAAAACCCGCAAACATCCTCAGTTGCAGTCCCCAATCTTCCCCAAACTCCCAAATCTGGCCTGGATGAATAATCAGGGCAAAAGGTTAAATCTAGTATTGAAACATATTAAAACAAACAAGTAACAAGTAGATACAAGTAGTAATTAGTCTTCGCAAGGGTTGACCAAGCTTTCCCCCAATGCCCCTTGAACATTCCCTCAAATGCTTCACTCAGGAAACATGCAGATCCTTGATGTCAAAAAGCCTACCAGATCCTACCAGAATGGTTTTGCCTCTCTTTAGGTCTGGGGGGTCTTATTAAATCAACAGTCGAGAGTCGATGGAAAACGATCCACCAAACATCTGAGTCATTGCTGCTTCGGACGGATCCACCAAACCCGCAGTCCCGCAGTTGAATCTTATGCTTAATTCTATTTATTGTTTCTAATAGCTTCTTGTTACTAGTAGCCATGCCAGGAGCCCCTAGTAGCTTCTTGCTCCTAGTAGTATGGCCAGGAGCCCCTAGTAGCGGAGGATCCTTTTGGATAAAAGGTGCTGGAATCGAGTGTTTTCTTCCAGCACCCTCACTGAAAACGGTCACCACCGCACCCCGCACCTGCCATTTTCAAGTCTCCAAAAGCCACCAAAGGAGACCTGTATAGTTGGGTTCCCAATTCATCAATCTTCCAATGACCTGCCACCCCACACGTGGACACGTGGACCACAAGGGTATTTGTTCTATTGTCATCTTTGTCTTTGACTGGGCACAAGACAAAAAAATAGACACACACATATATATATATATATGCTCTCCCAACATAGAGCTTCTCTCGCCCCCGGTAGAATCGGCCCAAGGGGCCACATCGCGCGCCAAATAGTGGAATCGCTTTTCTGCACCGAAGCGAGGATCTAACCTGACGTGGCGGAACCGCACCACGGCCGCTTCGGATTGAAACACGGACCGCTTCGGACTCTATAGGTCCGGTGGTGGCACGTGTTGAGCCTTGGCGTTTCTTTGGAACTTGGATTCTGGAGAACCCTATCACCTACTAAATCCATTTATATTTTATAAATCTTTTCAAGAAGACCCGCACCCACCAATCCTTCCTGAGGCTTTGGTGGCTTTGGGGGGTGAAACGACCGAATTCAAATCCTCCAACTCGAATGTGGTGGGACGCCTCCACTGGAGTCCATGAGAGAGACAGGGAACAACACTTTCGAACCCAACACCACTCTACCAGGACCCGGCTCGAAGAAGGTTTTCCGAGTCGCCACAGGTCTTGAGACCTGGAACTAGTGGAACTAAACCTACCAAAAACCCTCAACTACCGACCCTGCAGGAGAGAACTGATCGCTTTGAGGGACGCAAACAAACATCCTCCCTCCCTCCGGACCACACCGGGACGGACCCGGACCCGGTCACCGACGCGGCCGACGCGTCGTTCGTCCAAGTGTCAACATGGAGAGAAGAAAGCGGAAGATCTCCACGTTTCGCCCATAGAGAACCTCGGATCCACATCCCACGGCTGTGTATTGTGTGATTGCTGTCAGTTGGACACACGATCTAGCACGACATGAGGTAGCTGAGCCACCAAAAAGGCACCATAAAGGTCACTCTTTTAACAGTGTTCAGCATGTCGTGGTGTAGGAAGCCTTCTTTCAACTGCATGTATCCTTTCTCTTTTTTCGGAGCGTTTTGGGCCACCACGAATGAAGGATTGGTGTGTGTATCTGTGTGTCTTGTGGACACCGAATGTCAAACGGGTGGGGGCGTCGTTGACACGTAAAAGAAAGCAGTCGTCTGTCTTAACATGTTGTTTACTTGCTTTTTATCGTTGGGTTGCACCATCTGAATACATTGATGACTTTTGGTAGCACCACTTGCGAGCGACATGCAAGGTTCAAGTCCAAGAGTCCAAGGCTCTACAATTCATGAGCTCCTTTGTCATATATCACATTAAGTAACAGGTACCGAGAGTTTCGAGAACTGGACGAGTTCGTGTTGCTCCAATATTTGGATGGGCGGTCCGTTTATGACCGATAGGTTTGCCTCCAACCTATAGAACAAATTTAATATATCTTCATAGAAGGTGAAACCCAAGCAATCTACCAACCACTCGAGTTGGATTTCGACGCAAACGCGGGAACCGACCGGAACATCTTGGAACCATACACCGAAACTGGGGAAAGTGGGGGAACCCAATGGGGAATCCCAGGCACTGGGTCTTCGATGCAACTGGCCATTCAGGTTGCGGGAGCTAGCAAAGTCCCATGAAGTTCCACTTGTACAACTAAACAAAACAAATATGCCAGTATTTTCTTCCATGTGTTCCCAACCAGTCTATGAGGCAGTTTTCCAGGATCAGCAGTGATCATGGTGTGCGACGACAAACATAATAAGTGTTCTTCAATCCCCCCCAACCCCCATCGTTTTTTCAATCCAGCGGCCCCAGTCGAACGCCCTCCACCAAAAACGGTGTATTTCATTCACCACACCCAGTGGAACGACACGTCTCCACCAGTCCCCCAGTGGCTCGCCAGTGGCTCGCCACGAGTGGCTCGCGACGGGGGGCGGGTTGCATCACATCGGCTCGGTGAATGAAGACCTTCAGCAACAAGATCCGCAGTCGGAAGTCCGTAGAGGCTTTGTCCACCTGGAGAAGCGAACTGCGAGGTGTGGCAGTTGGAGGTTCCTCATGGTGGTTCCATTTGGAGCAAGCTTTTTGAGGGTGGTGATGCGGAATGGGATGTCCTAGTGACTCTGAGGTCTTTTTAGGGATGTTCCATGTACTTGGAGTCCCGGGTTTGCTGACAGGTTTTCAGGGCACACAACTCCGGGAACCAAATGTACTAAGAAGCCTCAAAAGTTACTGTCAGGCAGGCAGTGTTGCCTGCTTCACATTTTTGCACGAGCCTGGCTGGGTATCCGAACCAGGATACGTGCCACTGGGTCACAAATAGCGGCCAACGAAAGTCAGGATTTGCTGACCAGCTTTCCCGGCTAGTTGCTTCTTATGCAAGGAATTGGTAGCTCATACGATTACATATGCGAATCTGGTTCAGAGCGTGTGTGCGTGATCCCTCCAACCCCTGCTCCTCTCCTTCTGTCGATCTCCATCCCAGGCACGATGGCCAGCAACGACTGCAGCCATGAGCCACTCAAGTGGTTTGCTCCACTGGGCACTCCAAAGCGCTCTGTGAGGACGTCGAGTGTGCGGAGGAGCACGAGGAAGAGCGTCAAGGCACAATCGTTGGTCGGGCCGTCCTGAGGTCCCGCTGTCGTCAAAACGCTTGGACCTTTTTGGAGCGAAAGCCGTGAATGTTTCAGGTAGGATTCTCCATTCGTTGTGTCGAGCAAAGGTTGTGTAGAACATGTTTGAGGGTGAGGGGACCATCATACAATGCTGATCTGCTTGTCTGCTTCTCTGGTTACTCTTAGTTCCTCCCACAAAGGGACAATGGAGGGACCCGTGCCAAACCCGAGGAGGGCTAAAGCAAATGCTGCAAAAACTTGGCTGCAAGTCATCCTCCAAACTCTGCAACATCCCAAAGCACCCGTTTAGAAGGTGAGGATTCTTATGGGGGGTTGTTGAGGTCAGGGTGGAGATCAAGGAATATGTCTTGGAGCTTGGAACTTGGAACCCTAGATTTATGGTGAGCAAGTTGAGCTTATTTGAGCTTCCGCAGGATGCATTTAAACCACAAATAACAACATATATATATATATACATCGGACCACAAATAGGAACAAATAACAAGAGCGTCACCAAAAAATAAGCAATGCAGGAACTAGAATTTGGCTCACCTCAAATGGTAGAAGCTAGGCAAACTAACTCGGGAGACATTAGGAAAAAAATATGATCCAGAATCCAAAATGAGAAAACAGCGGGATCCCCTTGTCTCCCCTCCCTCACGTCCGCCGTCCGCTACCCGGCCTATAGTGCTATCATCCTCATTACGCTATGATTTTGTTATGCCTGCCACCTTCTGGCCTGGCTCTTTTGTTTTGTTTCATCTGTTTGATTCTATCTAATGAAATGTAGCATTGTTGATGTCCTGTATTATATTGTTTGTCCTATGTTCTTCCTATTGTTCCAATTTTCCTTTTCATAAGTTACAATTTATAGTTTGTTATATCCAATTGCGAGCTTCAGGCATTCATTCAGCTCAACATAACTTACCCTAGATCCCAGACCTAAACACATATTTGCTTAAAATTCAAGCGGGGTTCACTCCAAACTGTGTTCACGAGACGTCCCGCGATCACCACGTTCACCGTTTTTCAGACCCGGTTTCTTTCCGCCGAAAAGACGTCTCCGCGTCGAAGACTCCGGAAATCCCCGAAGACTTTCGGTTTTGTCGGGTTTTCAGGAGGAGACTTTAGTATTGGCATCCACTTCTGCAGCTTGAGAAAAGTTGCTGATTGATTGAGGTCAGGGGCCTACATCATCAAAGGAAAAACTGGCACACTAATCTTTTGGCGGTCCTTTCTCATACTCCGTGGAGGAAAAGTGTCACGCTCCTGACGTTCCTCGTCTTTTTTCACATCACACGTCTCCCGTTTCGCGAAACCCTTACCAGCTTGATGACCCCCACCTTTCCCACAAAAGGTAAACAATACTATTTGGATCATCCCAAGCTTCGGGGAAAATCACCTCGTCATGCTCCAGCCACTCCGTTTGCCACGTCGCGCCCCGATCAGTTTCGCCTCAAAAACAGCCGGACCCTGAAACATTCGGGCGCACTATTGATCGTTCTGGTGGGGGTGCTTCGGGTGCTGCCTATTTGTCATCAACATTGAAGTGCATTCGTGGATATCATTTTCCAAAATGTTCTATCTAATTTAAAGTAGTCGATAGTAAATATATAGGGCATCGTATATTAACCCTGAACTTGTAGGTCTGAAGTAGTGAATGTTTGAGGTCAAATGTGCATTCCAAGAACCTTTCAATAACCACGAGAGGAAACTTATAATGTTTGGTGGTAAACAGCAGAGACACTTGCAACACCTGCATCACACAAAGAGCGCACAAGCTCTTTGCAGGCTCTGAAAAGGGCAGCGGCGGTACCTGCCTGGATATTTAGATGCGTATCCAGCAGGACTCGAACTAAGGGTCGGTATAAGCAATGATTGAGGATATGAACAATTGCGTGACATTGTATTTCCTATCCCTTGTTTGGAGATGTGAGCACATCATTCTGCATCGTTTGATCTGAGGATGCAGAAGGAACGAATAAACTATTAGACTATTAGGGTAGTTGTCAGTCGAAGTGTGTTGTGGAGCTTGGAGGTTGGAGAGGCTAGATGCCAGTGTGAGTTTGTGAATGTTTGTTGCATGCTGTTGAATGCAACAACCAGTGAAACGGGAAAACAACACTTGAGCGGGGAAACACGAAAGGTAGAGACGGACCGAGTAGCTGTCGGGACCTTTTCTGGTGAGGGACTGTCTCCGGTGTTTCAGGAACGTGCCCCTTGGTCAATCATGGATGAAACCAACAAAGCCAGAGAGCACAAGAAGGCATAAGAAGGCTCAAGAGGAACACCGTTGCGGTCAGATTGCGCCACACGGATCTGCAGAGAGGCTGCGTTGCGTCGACGCTCGTTTGTGTCTAGGTGTGTGAAAACAGGCGCGCGTAAAAGTCGCAATGCGTAAACGCTCGCATGTGTACCAGCTATGGTCCCACAGCTGCACGCACTGTGTCAGGATTACAGGCCTGCACGCGTTGCGTCGAAGCCGCAGTGACTCAGTGACCAACCCCCTTGCAAGGATAGTGCTGGAGGGGTGCGGCTGGTACTGCCAGGGATGGACGTCACGCTATGGTGGGTGTGCTCCACGATGCGGTAAGATTTCGCCACGCTAGGGTATAAGGCTGAGTCGAATGGTGTTCCGCGACGCGAGGGGTTTCTCCACAGGGCTTAGCAGAGAGGCTGTGTTGCATCGATGCTCGTTGGTGTCGAGCAATATGGTCTGTGAACGCAGTACGTGCTGTGTCAGGCTGCCGGGTGCGCACGCGCGGCATCGAAGCTGCATTGCGCGACCTCATTGCGCAGGGTTCGTGCTGTATTGCGCAACCTCATGGCCAGCGTCGTACTGCTGTGACTGTTAAGCGCATGACTTCACCTTATGTCATGTCCAGAATTTAGTAGTGCTGGCGACGAGGGGGGGGGAGGGGGGGGGGGGGGG